AAATAGTACATGTGGGGTTACAGAGCCAAAGGAATGATGATTGTGCCTCCAATCAACTGTACAGATACACAAATCCTACATGTGGGGTTACAGAGCCAAAGGCATGATGATTGAGCCTTCAATCAACTGTACTGATGCAAAAATTATACATGTGGGCTTACAGAGCCGAAAGCATGAGGATTGGGCTTTCAATTGGATGTACGGTTGCATAAACCTCACATGCGGGGTTACAGAGCCAAAGGCATAAGGATTGGACATCCAATCGACTGTACAAATACACAAACCGTACATGTAGGGTTACAGAGCAATTGGTATGAGGATTGGGCCCCCAATGGGATATACGGATGCAAAAACTGTACAAGTGGGATTACAGATTGAAAGACATGAGGATTAGGACTCCTATCGGACCTATGCATGCACAAACCATACAGGTGGGGTTACAGAGCAAAAGACGTGAGAATTAGGCCTCCAATCAACTGTACGGATGCACAAACGGTACATGTGGGGTTACAGAGCCAAAGGGATGAGGATTGGGCCTCCAATCAATTGTACGGATACACAAACCATACATGTGAGGTTACAGAGCCAAAGGAATAAGGATTGGGCCTCTAATCAACTGTACGGATACAAAAACCATACATGTGGGGTTACAGAGCCAATGGTATGAGGATTGGGCTTCCAATCGACTGTACTAATACAAAAATTATACATGTGGGCCTATAGAGCCAAAGGCATGAGGATTGGGCTTTCAATCGGATGTATGGTTGCATAAACCTCACATGTGGGGTTACAGAGCCAAAGGCATAAGGATTGGGCATCCAATCGACTGTACGAATGCACAAACCATATAACGTTAGGTTAGAGAACCAAAAGTTTGAGGATTGTGCCTCCAATCGGCTATACGGATGCACAAACTGTACATGTAAGGTTAAAGAGTGAAAGACATGAGGATTGGGCCTCCAATCGGACCTATGTATGTGTTGGAGGTGCAACTTCACTTGGGCCGACAACCACTCATGGGTCCGATAATATTCCTTTATGACTTATTGGGCCGGCTAAAGCCCTAACAATGGCCCAAGCCCATCATTGAAAGGAATATTCTCGGGGAATATTCCCCTCACCTTATCTACATATACCCCATTTTTGGTGGTGGAGAATAAGCTCATTTTACTATTCCCTTCTTGGCTCACATTTTATACATTCACTCTTGACACTGACTTGCTCGTCGGAGTGCTAATCCTTGTTTTGCAGGTCTCAGGTCCATAGACACCGTTGACCCTCATCCTAACAGATTTCACCTTCGACAGGTCCATAGACACCGTTGACCCTCATCCTACATTCACCTTGATATTGATGAATTAACAAATAATTTTGTTGAGCGATTTTACGTGTACTTAATTTATACTTTCTAATCAACTTTAATTTAAATTTTTATTCTCATCAAATTTTAGTTTGATAACTCATTTAATTCAACTAATTTGATTGCTACCGTAATAATATCGATGCTGTGAAATATTAGAAAAAGAAAGTTATTGTCATTCACTTTGTGAAGATCATAGTTTCTAACCTAAACACATATTTTATTCTTTATTCTTTTTTCCAAGGCTTGGTAATGATATTTATCTTGATTCCATTCAGGACAATTCAGTAGTCATAACTCATATCTAGCAAGTAACAAAATTGTGGACAAATGGAGAGAAATTAGCTAGATATTTTGATGTGAACTATGCTAATAAACTCAATTTAGGTTGTGAAGATTTTTCGATAGGGTGACACGAGTTATGTTGGAATCTCCTAAAATACACATATGGAGGAGATTTATGACGGCTAGGGAGGCCTTTGGTTTGAAATCAGTGTAATGAAATAATCTTTTCTATCATAAATAATCAACATTAATTATATAGTCTTTCATGAGAGTGTATTCACTGCATGCCATTTGTTGTAGTACCAATATCAATATCATTTCTTTTACGTAATTGGAAAAAAGAACCTCAAAGAATAGTCATAGAATCCAAATAATAATAATAAAAAATTTGGCATGAAATTCATTTTGGATTTTGGAATGGAAATGATCATGACGAAAATATGTCATTATGGCCTTAAAAGTAAAGAGTCAATAGTCAGATTTTACATTTGTTATTGGCAAGGATTCCCAAAAATTGTAATCACTTATTACATAAATTATTTTGTTGCTACTGAGTTACACTTTTGATGTTGTTGCCTTTGATGTTGTCTTTGAGTGTATTAGATTTTTTCCTCTGTGTTGCACACAATTTATACCACTTAATACATAAATTATTTTGTTTTTCAATCTGCAAACTTGATGGTAAGTCTTGCAGTGAAATTTTTGAATATCTCCTTCTTCTTTCTCCTGAAATCCAAAGAGAGACCCAAATATTTGCTGTGGAAAGGCCTTTCTGGAATGTTTGTGGCTGTATGGATCAACTGCTTCATTGGCATAGGGGTATTGTTGCTCAACGGAGTGGAGGACTTGTGGTAATTTACTTTTTGTCCTGAAAAGGAAGCATACATTTCAATGATGCCTGTCAAAGCTTGGATGGAGTCCTCAGTACACTCTAGGAAAAAGAGACTATCATCCGCATACATCAAAGTGGTTTATTCTGGAAGCCTGTCTGCTGAGCTTGATCCCTGACCCTGGAAAAATCTGTAACTCTAATCTAATAGTGGAAGATAACACCTGTTGACAGAGGATAAAGAGATAGGGGGAAAGTGGAAAACCTTGTCTCAAGCCTTTTTGATGTAAGAAATATGGAAGACTTTCCCCATTAAGTTGAATTGAGTATGACACTGATGTCACACAAAACATGATGAGGTTTACCAAATTCTCTGGGAAGCCCATATGTTGTAACACAGCTTTCAAAAAAGGCCTTGACACACGGTCATAGGCTTTGCTCATGTCTAACTTGATTGCTACCAACCCTAATTCTCCTTCTTTTTTATAGATATGCTCTATAACTTCATGTGCTAGAAGGATATTTTCACTGATGTTCCTCCCAGGAACAAAACCATTTGGATTCTCATCTACTTGTTCTGGGATAATGGTTTTCATCCTATTTGTTATCATTTTGGTGATGATTTTATGTTTCACATTACATAAACTGATAGGACCAATATCAGCTGGAGTGACAGGATTAGGTACCTTGGGAATTAAGACCAAATTTGTTTGGTTCCACTCACTAGGAAACTGTTGGCTGTTGAGGACTTCTAGAATAGTAGCTTCAACATTTGATCCAATGGTATTCCTATACGTATTGTAGAAACCAGCAGGCATCTCATCAAGGCCTGGTGCTTTCCATGGTGCCATCTGATTAATAGCTTTCCAGATTTCAGTAGAGGTAAAAGGCTGGTCCAGTTCTTAGGACTGAGTAGGTGACAGGACTTCCTGGACATTTTGTAACAACTGAGACATAAAAGATGAGTCTAGTGCTGGAGTAGTATTCTGTGGAGGATCAGAGTAAATGTCTTCAAAGTGATGCTACAAAATGTTGCCCAGCTGTGAGGGGTCATTTATCCAATCTCCATCCTGATTCTATAATTCAGTGATCCAAGTTCCCTTCCTTCTAGTGGCCCATTTATGAAAAAATTTGGTATTTTGATCTCCTTAAAGTGGGCAAATCAACCTGGATCTCTGTTGCTAGTATTCATGTTGGAATTGTATAGCCTCCTCTAATTCTTGTCTCTTATTTTGGACTGATTCAAAGAGGTTCTCATTCTGTGGGGAGTTATTCAGTCTGAGTTACAAGGAAGCTAACTGTTCTGTAAGACTATTTACTTTTTGATCCAAATTTCCAAACTGATGTTTGCTCTAGGAATATAAGCTACTAAGACTGGATTTGAGTTGATAAGACAACTTTTCTTGATTATAGGGATATGGAGAGTACCTTGAGTCCATGCAGTGTGCACTAACTCTTTGGACTTGGGACATTTCACCCAAAACTGTTCAAATTTTTGGAGCTTCCTAGGTTTATGACGTTGTTCTTTGAGTTGCACTAAGATAGGCGCATGATCAGAAACCATAATGGGTAAGTTTCTGATTATAGCCTTTCTAAAGTGTTGAAGCCAAAGTCTATTAACAAAATCTCGGTCCAGTCTCTCAAAAATGGCTTCTTGATGTTGCCTCTTGTTAGTCCATGTATACCAACAACCTGTATGATTGAGCTCTTCCAAGGCTTTGTCTGTAAGAAAAGATTTGATTGGACTAGTATCTTGTTCCCTCACTAGTCTTCCTCCATGTTTATCTTCCTCGCTAGTGACCTGATTAAAGTCCCCTACAACTATCATAGGATAACTAAAACTGCTGAGATTGGTATTTAACTGTGACCAAAATTTGGATCGACCTTGACTAGAAGGCAATCCATACAGGAAAACACCTATCCACTCAGCACCAGTAGGTTCCTGAACTTGTACTACTATAAAATTATTACTATGCTGAATCACATTCAGATTCATACTACTTAACCAAAATAAGGCTAATCCACCACTGGACCCTATTGAATCTATTACAAAAGTGTTCTGAAATACAGTGGTCTGATGCCAATTATCCATATTTGTAGAGTTCGCCCTAGTCACTATTAGAAACAAAATAGAAGGTTTATAATGCTTAGCTAACCTACTTAGACACTGATTTGTAGAAGCATTGTTAATGCCTCTACAATTCCAAGATATAATACTCATGATGGTGAAGACGGTTGATCTGGTACAACCATCGCAAAACCATGCACTTTACCAACATTTTCTAAGACTGAACTTGATGCTCCTTCACTAGTGGCAGCAATGGTTGTCTCCTGATCAGTTGTTGCCAGTCTCTTAGTTAGTCTATGGAGATCATCATCAGAGCCTTCAGAGTTCCTTTTGAGGCTAGCCGGAGAACCATCAGAGGCCACCTCCATATCACTATCATCATCACTGTCAATTCTCATGCACCATGCAGATGTGCTCGTCTTTGGAGTTGTGGTCAGCTTCTTTGATCTCCTCCTCCTTCAAGAGCGCTGGTTGGACTTGAGACTACCTCTTGGCTTCTTTATGACTTGTGCAGGTAGTGTTTTAGGATCTGATACGACTTGTCGCACCGTCATTCTGTATTGGATAACACTGTCCTCCGAGTCTGAATCAGTGAGGTCCTCCCAAGCTGGGGCAGACATAGTCCATCCCTGAGATCCTTCAGTGAAGTGACTAAAGGAGCGCTTTCGAATAGTTGCAGAAGACTTGGTTGAAGGTGAGGCAATTACACTACTCTGGAATTGGCTAACCAAAGGCTCAACAGAGCTATCAGAATAGGCAGAACTCTCTGAAGAAGTATTAACAGAAGACAACGTGCAGAAAGAAATTCCTCTAACAATCTCTCCCTAGATTGGATTGTAGAATTATCTGATGTTGCTATCTCAGTGGAATGGAGAGAGGAAATACTATTTTCCCTATCTATTACAGAGTCATCAAAAGCAGCATGAAGTACAAATACAGGGGAAGTGACTTCATCAAATGGAGGGAAATCAAGAACATTTGGAATAAATAGATCAGGGACAAAATCCAAATCATCTAGTCTATTTTCTGGAGGTGCATTTTCTGGAATGGTGTAAAAAGATTGTGGCATGTAAAAGTGATAGGAATTAAAAGAATGGAATGATTGAGGGTACCTTCAGAAGACGAATCTGGGAACACGGTTGGTTGAGCATTCTGTTCACTCTCACTGTGCATAACAAGGAAGGTGGGAAATCCTCTGCTGCTGGAGCTGCCATACGACTAGGATCATAATAAACTGAAGAGATGGCTCCTGAAGGGCCTCTCATCTGGTAGGTTGGCAATAAGCCATTCTGGGGTGGAAGATCATCATCATAAATGTTATCTGCATTAATATCTACATGGTAATCATCATAATCATCTCCCTGGTTAGCATCATCATCCCATTCTGGATTACTATCATCATCACTGTCATTATCATCACCGCCGAACGATTGGGTGGGCTACCATGGAACCGGTTCATCTTCCTCCAAATCTGTGATGGTGAATTCGTCCTGGACATAAAATTCTTGCACCCTGGAGTAGTAATCCATCATTTGCTCTGCTTTAAGGTCGGGGATGAAGGTGCTGCGCTTTTTCTTATGCGCATGAGTGCGCGAAGAACTAGTGTACAGTAGCTTCGACACATCAATTAACAAAGGCGAATCAAATTGTAAAGATTTATCAAAAAAGAACAAATCTAGGAACTGTTCCAAAGTAGCTTGCTCAAACAGACAGCAACATTTCAATGGATGGCCTAGGCGCCCACATCTTTGACAGTAATTGTGCATGTGTTCATATTTGCATCGGATTTTGCCAATTTTCCCATTTCTCTTAGTAAAGTGAAATTGAGGAGTTAAGGGGTCACCCTGCTTAATCCAGACCTTGGCTCTGACGTAGGCGGCTTTGCAGAGAGATACACGTTCCTCCTTGATGACTGCAACTTCACCAACTCTGCGAGCTAGATATGCAACACCCCGATAATTTAACATTGAGATGGGGACTCCATGCATGCGCACCCAAATACTTAACTTATCAATTTTGATGCCGTCTAGCGCCAAATCCTCATCATCATAGCAGCGTCTGAGGATGAGTAGGCCACCATCTACAACATATGGTCCATTATCCAAAATCATCAGAAGCTCCGATCGAGACGCAAATTTAATCACAAAGAAATTTTGATCATAATGAAGAACTCTGGTGTAGACCGGCCTGTTAGCTGTCATATAGTTCTGCATGACTCTGTCATCAACTTCCTTATCAGCAATGAGATATCCAAGCAGGGAATAGCGGAGATTGTCCCTAGATAAACTTGCCGCTTGGTCTGTGATTTGCTTGTTGTGAGTTCACAGATAAGGACGTGGGATAGATCTAGGATTGGCATCACTCCCGGCCTAAACCCACGGTCTTCTTCAGAAAAATCAGACCCTTGAACTAACATGGCAGTGACAGAGTCTTCAACCATTGCATGTCGATGAGACATGATTAATCGGTCAAAGCCGATGGTGGAGAAGAGTGAAGAACCATAAAAGAAAGGTAGATGATTTGGATGATGAAAAAAAAATAATTAGATCTGAGGTGGAAAGGTGGGAATATTTTGCAACAGAGAATATTAGACCAAAGTAAATGCAAGAAGGAGAATTTAGTTTAGGAGACTGAAAGAGACTAATGTCACCAAGTTGTGAATAACAAAAGTCCAAAAAGCATTAAAGGGTTGAATTATCAAGGATCGAAAAGGCCAAATATGAGCAAAGCACCTGGGAAAACAACACTTTGGGGGTTAGGATGTGCAAAGAAAGCGGCTAGAAAACAAATAGACCGAATGTGAGAAACTGAAAGGGAGGGAAAAAGGCTGGATGCATTGGAAAATCATTTCAGATGGATAAAAAGGTGGAATTTTTAATCAGATTTGAAGAAGTTGAAAAGACCGAGATTGCATGTCATCCAAATGGCAGTAGGTGGAGTAACAAGCTTGATAATTAGAAAACCGAGAAGTTGGTTTAAAGAAACAAGGTGCTAGTTATGATTGTGGGTTAGTGGATAATAGGAAACCAAGAAAATTGGCGATTTTGGGGAAATAATCTGGTTTGATGTATTAGAAGATCTTGGTGGAACTATTGTCATCAATTGGGCTCTTTCTCAGCTTTTGAGAAAGAGAGGACATTCTCTCACAAAACATTTGTAGAGAGAAGGACGACTTTACTTGACTTCTTCAGAAGATTTAATAACGATAGGAACTACACATTTCATGAGAAAAAAACCGAAAGAAATATTAGTTTCACTGCTTCCTCCTGCTTTCATTTCGTCAGCCAACAATCATTCCATTTCAGCACATGATTTTCTCCTCAAATAAAAAGGAAAAAAACCCAAAATAGAATAAACTGCCTTCCACTGGTAGCAAAGCAAGAGTTGGTCTCGGGAAAAAAAAAATTTCTCGACACAGAAAGGTTAGATTTCGCCTGCTCTACTTGTCTCTCTCTTATTGAATCTAGGAATAAAAGATCAAACTAAGTTGATGTCGGTTGCATGCGAGGTGTTTGTTTATTTGTCCTGGATTATCAGGATGGTCTGTTGTTAATGTTTCTTAGCTGAACAAACAAAATTGAAATATTCAATCGATCAAGGAATTTATGGTATGATAATTAACAATATTGTGCTGCTACACGAGGTTACATAAAGTACTTGATCCGAAAATCAAACAATTGGAATTCAGCCCTTCTTAGGATTAGATATTCATGTGGTTGTCCAGTTCTGTTGGGCTTAATGTCAAATGTTTAGAGAAAATGCAGCTGTTTAGAGAAGTGTCTGAATTGAAGTTTCAGCTGCTAAACAGCAGCCAAAAGTAGTTTATGCTTATAGAATTCAGACATCGAGAGTTAGTTTTCATCCTTTACATGAACATGTTCGCGTTCACATAATTTGAGTACATTCTAGTAAATCCTTGGCCAAGAGAAATGAGGTTGTCCAAAAACTGCCAGATCAGTTTAAAGTCTCAATTGATGGTCAACATAGGTTTTATGGGAATATTGGCGGATACATCCCATCATTTACCCTCTACTAGCCAATTCATCCCAAACTTTTAAAATTGAGTCATTACATCCCAAGATTTTTAAAATTGAGTGCAACCATCCCATGACCTGTTGTTAACCTAGAGTAACAGGTAAAGTTTACTTAATTTCATAAATTTTACTTAGTTCGGTATTTACTTCTTTTGCTAATTATTTTTTTTATTTTAGTCTGGTTAATTATGTCATGCCATCACTCCATCTCTCCCAATACTATTACGGTTACTGAACAAAATATTCGGCTTTTATTTTTTAATCTGTTTGGAATTTTTAATATTTTTTCAAAATATTTTATTAATAAATGTCCAATTTCAACATATATATTTACATTTTCAACACTCCTTTTTACAAGATCAATACAAAAAATACCTAAAAACACACAAAAAAAATCCAAACATAGATATTCAATTTTTGTTTGAAACAAGTGGAATCAAAATCCACCATGCATTATTTAGATATAAAAAAAATTTAAAAATAAAATACCCAATTGCTTCTTCATAATTAATAAGGTCATAACGATGTTTGCCAAAATTTTATTAAAAAAATATTAAAAATTAAGAGAGAGGGAGAGATAGTGAGAGAAAATACCAATTTTCACCTGTTGTACCAGGTCAATTTTGTGTTGTTTCAGGTCATGGGATGGTTGCGCTCAATTTTAAAAGCTTGGGATATAATCAATCAATTTTAAAAGTTTGGGATAAATTGGCTAGCAGAGGGTAAACGTTGGGATGTATTCACCAATATTCACTAGGTTTTATTGCCCAATTCAAAAATTTCAATCAAAATTATTCTGACAAATTTGTCTTTTTTCAGCGAAGTTGCTGCATATTGAAGATGAATTTAGGATTAACACTCAATTAGAGATTGAGGTGGTGATTTGGTGCTATTGGATTACAATTCCTTTTTTGAGCAAGAATCATCGACAAAAATTTTAGCATTGAACAAAGATTGGGTACTTGTCCTATTTCATATACATGGTCCAGTATAAATTGAAGTATGTTCATGCTTATTCTATATATACATCAAATAAATACTAGGCAAATGAAAAAAGTAAATAAACAAAAGAGAATTGAGTACGTGAAATGTTCAGGAGGTGCCGCAAGTTCTTCAGTAAACTTCATCGGAAATGCAGCAATAAACTTGGTGTTTGAGGTAAACATGAGGACCTTTTTTCATGTCAACTTTATTCATTCAGATTCTTTGACAATATCAACAGTAAAGGGTTTCTCAATCCATGTATAGAGTTTTTGGCTTTTAAAAGTTAGTGAATTTAAAGTTCAGTTGGGGTAAGCCAACTTGTAGCTTCTAAAGTCCACGTTTCATCGATGAGATTGCTTTGATTTAAATCAACTTAGGTAGGCTTTGATTTTGGATAGAGAGAACGGAAAAGTAGCGGAAAAGGCTATCAGCAGTTGCTTTTCATTGTTGTTACTTTTATTTTAGAAGAAATGGGCATGAAGATACAGTTATTTGTGGTATATGTGATCCATGATGTTCATGAAGGCCTTCTATAGAATGTTTTTGTGCGGCTACCATAAAAGTTGTATTGTAGAATTAGTCAATCTATGTATGAAGTGTATGTTTTAAGCACCTGGAGAATAGAAATGATTGGAATTTGGCAACAAACTTAAAGTTTTGGCTGGTGATGGCCAAAATTTATCTTGCTTTTTTTTTTTTTTTTGGTTCTGATCTGGTGCTGTGGAACTTCCTGGGTTGCACACTTAGTGTTTGAATCTTGTTCTGAAAGAAGTACACCAATCAGGGAACCCATTTCAGGAACAACAATTTGTCTCAATCTCAAAGGTTCCTAGATTCTGTTTTGGAAAAAAAAATAAAGAAAAAAGAAAAGCATTAACAGTAATTGGCAGGTTTCATATTTGCTGGATCTATGAGTATAGAATGTGCAACGCATAGAAACTTAAAGTCGCTAGTTGAATGGAATTAAAGATGTGTGGAAAAAATATGGGATTTTTGTAGTAGCTTTAGATTGAGATGATTCTGGTTTGTTTGATTCTTTCTCAAATTACGTTCTGTTAAATTATAGCTTGTCACCAGTTTTCAGCTACTAATTTTGTTGAATTGAAAGATACTTCAGTAAGATTTCCAACTTGATTTTTCCCAAAATAATTGGCATTCTGATTTATAATGGAACTTGAAATGGCATGAGTTGCTGCATTGAATGCTATCTTCCCCGCTAGCAATCAAAGGTATTAGTGGTGGTAGTTGGTGGTCAAAATATCAGAATGAACAATTTATTCTTTTCTGCTATACTTAGATTAATTGACTAGAATTTTTACTACATGGATTGGTTTTAACAAAGTAGTTGGCTTTTTTGATTGTATATTTTGTAGGTTTAGAACTTCCAAACACAATTCTTGAGCTATTTGGAGGTACAATTGCGCCCTACGCGATGCTGGTATCACCGCATGTTTTGACCCAAGTAAAGACGTTTCTGTTTCCAGAGTTAATCTTCATAGTTACAGACTGAA